GGTGGTCCATTTTCGTTGATAACACATGAAAAAAAACCAGTTACCGATAAAGATTTTCATGGTCAATGGATATTAATTTATTTCGGTTTTACTCATTGTCCTGATATATGTCCAGAAGAATTAGAAAAATTAGCTGAAGTAACTGAACTTCTTCATAAACAAAAAAATAAACAAAATTATCCATTTCAACCACTTTTTGTTTCCGTTGATCCTGAACGTGATACACCTGAATTAGTATCAAAATATATTAAAGATTATTCACCCCATTTTATTGGTTTAACTGGAACACGTGATCAAGTTGCTGATATGTGTAAACATTATCGTGTTTATTTTAGTCAAGGACCAAAAGTAGGTGATGATTATATTGTTGATCATGCTATTGTGATGTATTTAATCAATCCAAATGGAGAATTTGTTGATTATTATGGAAGAAATAAGAATGCAAAAGAAGTAGCATATGCTATTGAACAACATATGAATGCTTTTAAAGAATCAAATAAATAGTTTTATTTAGATAAAAAATAAAAAAATAAATTAGACGTATTTCTTTCTAGTTTCATATTATGAAACATTCTCTTTTTTAGATAAAATAAAAATATGTCATCAGTAACAAATAAACAAAGAGTTAGTTTTGGTTATAAACAAACAAATCGTCAAAGAAATAATATGAAATTACCACCACAGGACTTTAACAATTATGACGATGAACCGTCTATGAATTTTAGTCAACTAAATAGAAAACGACCACGAGAGTATGAAAAAAATTTGGGAAAATTATTTTTCGATAATTTTTTGTTCTTAATAGGTCACATAGTCCGAAGTTCAATAAAGCAAAAAAATTAAAACAAGATGATAATAATACAGTTAATTCAAATTCTTCAAATTTTCATGTGGTAAGAAATATTTTCTTTTCATTAAGTACATTTCGTTTATGAAACGAGATATTTATCTTGAAAATAAGTAGATGAACACATGTAATGATACATGAACATAGAAATTTGATCATTTCAAAGGAAAAGTTCGGAATATATTAATCAATTTGCTTTCCGCGTGTTCTAGCTGTTGTTTGCATGCTTAGAATTCATTCTCTCAATCGAAGTGTATATAAGAAGAAAACAATAGCATTATTAATGTATGATCTTATTCTATAAAAGAGAAATAATTAATTGAGAATAATCTATATCTGTTTTAATTAAAAAGTATAAATTAAATTCTACTTCATTTCATCATTATTCACACAATAATTCTCTAGAATAAAAATTCTAAAAAGTTTTTATTATATGTTTTTAGTTAGAAAGTGAACTTTTAAATCATTATTCTACAGCAAAACAACTTGATTCTACCTATACATTAAAATGGAAACTTTGCCAAGATCTTTTTGCAATGTTTATTGGAATTGTTCCAAGTAAAATAAATGAAATTAATTTTATAATCTTTATCTTTATAAAAAAATTGTTTTTAGATTTAGGTGTTTATTTAGTTGGATCAAGTGCAAATGGATTTGCTACTGAAGATACTGATGCCGATATATGTATTGTTATTTCATCTTATCCTGTAAATAAATAAAATATAAAAAACAAAAAGTAATTTTATATAATTCTTCTACGTTTTTAGATTGATCAAAAACGTGAAGCAGTTAAATTTCTTGAAATAGTTCGACGTGCATTACGAAAAAAAATATGTTCGTATTTTCTACTTTAATTTTCTTTCGTATTGAATACTGTTTCTTGTTATTTAGTTGCTGGTTCATGTGATTTAATACGTGCTCGTGTACCTATTCTACGATTTACTGATTATGCCACGTATGATATTTTGTATTGAATATTTTGTTGTTTATAAATATTTCTATATGCTTTTTAGTCGATTAAGATGTGATGTAAACATTAATAACTCAACTGGTATTCGAAATACAGATCTATTACGTTTTTATTCAGAAACAGATGAACGAGTGGCTCCACTTGGTTAGTACTTTAATTTGTTCATCAACATATCTTTTGTAGAACTCACGTAAATTTTCGAAGAAAAATATTGAGTGTAAGTTTTAAGTTCAAGTTTTCCGACTTAGCAACTAATGTCAAAGATCATTGGGTACAAATCAAGGTAGTCGCTCATTCTTGGCCATTCTAATGGCTTCAAATAGCCTGAAATAGGAGGGTCTGAGCATAGTTCAGACTATCTTAAAATGGCTGAGAAAATCAGAGATGGTGTATCTCTATAATTTTAATATATAAATAATCGTTTGTTTTTCTCTAGTCTTAACACTCAAATCATGGGCAAAATTTCATAATGTAGGGCAAAAGATATAAATCTTATTTTATATATATATGAAATATTTTATTTTATTTTTAATACTAGATTAATGATGCCAGTCAAAAAACATTATCAAGCTATTCTATCACATTAATGTGTCTCTTCTATCTACAAGGTAATCAATTATTTAATTTATTTATTTTTGAAATTATTTGAGAATTATTTTAGGTATTGCAAAACCATCAGTTGTACCTGTTTGGCAAGCGCTTTTACCAGTATGTTGAATAGTATCACTACCGATAAAAACAAATTAAATAATTTTTTTTTTAAGAATCGTTTTGATGTTAATATACCTGTTTCCCGATTAAAACGAACTGATGAACCAAAATTAATTTGGAGC